ACACACACACACACACACAGGTCCCCGAAGCCCAACAGCAGCCTCAGCACCTGCCCAGCTCAGCCTGGAGGGGTCCTGCCTTCTTGCTGCCTCTGGGGTGTCTTATTATTATTATTATTATTATTATTATTATTATTAATTACTGTTTTTTATTGACAGGAAGGGAGACAGAGAGACAGACAGACATTGGGGATTGAGCACAGCCTGGGTGTGTGCCCTGCTGCCCCTTGTCTTCCCTTCTCTGTTATTTGCAGACAGGGCCGAGGCCTCCCTTGTACCCTGCCTGGATCTGGGCAGTCTAGGGATCCTGGGAGATCCAGAGCCCCCCCCCCCGACATGAGGGGCTCCCCTAAACTAGGCTGCAGCCCAGGCGCACGCAGGGGCAGTCATCCTGTCAGGAGTGGGGGGGGGAAGCATCAGCCCCCCGCCTTTGGGCGCATAGGATGACGCTCCACCAGCTGAGCCACACTGGCCAGGGCTAGGGTTTCTTCTGATTCAGCCACCGCCCAGCTGCCAGGAGGACCCCAAGGCCAGAGTCTTGCCTTCTGCCTGGAATACCCTTCTCACCTCCCCAGCAGCCCCCCATCTTCCAAGGCCCAGCTCAAGGCCTTCCTCCTCCAGGAAGCCTCCCGCCCCCTCCCATACACACTGCTGACAAGATGAGCCCCTGCGTGCGCCTGGGCTGCAGCGTAGTTTAGGGGAGCCCCTCAGGTCTGGGGGCGAGGGGCTCTGGATCTCCCAGGATCCCTAGACTGCCCAGACCCAGGCAGCGTACCAAGGAGGCCTCGGCACTGTCTGCAATTAACAGAGAAGGGAAGACAGGGAGAGCAGGGGAGGGAAACACAGGAGCGAGGGCTGGGGAGTGGGCCTGGGCCTGGGGCTGGCGACGGTCAGGGTCCTAGAGGGAGAGCAGTCCCAGCCCCTGGCCTGTGACACCTCCTCTGGCCACCAGCATGCCCTGCCGCCCGCCCACGTGGCCTCCTCCCAGGCTCCTGGGAGTGCTCAGGGGCCGGAGGGACAACTCGGCCTGAGTGCAGGCCTTCCCTGTAGAATTCCCATTCCTCCTGGCATTGGGGCACCACAGATCCCAGACCCCACAAGGTAGGGCACAGCTTGAACGTGTTGCTTGAGGCAAGAGGAGGCTGGAGGTGTGGGCAGAGCTGAGCCCTGGCCCTGGACCCTTTCCACGCCACCAAACTGGCTGCTGAGAGAACTGAGACCTGGAGAGGGCGCGACCTGCCCCACAGCCCGGCCGAGGAGGGCAGGGAGGGGCGAGGGGAGAGGGTGGAGGGCAGGAGCGCTGACAGCAGCATCTGGAGCAGGAGGGCGAGGCTCCTTGTTTGGAGGCTCTGCGCCTGCAGATGAGCTCACGCCTGCCTGCTGCCCGGCGTGTCCCAGCAGGGCCCTTCCCACAGGAGCCGGTTGCTTGGCATCACCGGGACCGCTGCCTGCAGCCCTGGGGGACCCCACCCTGCCGATGGGCACCACGGCAGAGGGTGCAGGGTCGGCCATGCTAAGCACCGGAAGGCTGGGCCCTTCCCCAGCAGGCAGGAGCCGTGTGGCTCAGTGGGAGAGAGGAGGGGCCTGGGAGAGGGCGAAACAGTCGGACACGTGCACCCGGAGGCCAAGTGCTCATGCACAGCTGACTTCACCCGGGAACAGCCCTGCCCGCCTCGGGGTGGGGGTGTGACTGACGGGCTGTGACAGAGCCTGGCAGGTCCCTGGTGGGAGGCGTTGAGGGGAGAGCCTGGTCAGTGTATCAGGGAGGGCTGAGGAGGGGACTCTTGGGGTGAGTCACTGAGGTCATGGACAGCAGGCTTGGAGGAATGGGCAGAGTGCAGTGGGGCCAGGGCGGAGGGGCGGAGGGGCAGCTGCGGCCTGAGCGTGGTCGTTCCTGAGCCCGACCGGGGCTCTCTTTGGAGCAGTGGGGGCAGCAGCAGGCTAGAGGCTCAGATTTGGGGCAACGGAAGGATCTCTGGGCCGACTTGGGGAGGGTGCCCCTCAGAGGGCAGGGGTGGACCCCGGAGGAGGCTGGGACTGTGAAGGGGCAGGAGACAGTGGGAGGTGGGGTGGACAGGATTTCCTGGCCTCTCCTTCCTGGCAGCCTCCTTTTTCCAACGGACAAGCTCCTATTCATCCCGCAAAGCCCACTCTGGCGGGCCTCAGGGGCTGGGCGCTGGCTGGGGCCCACTTC